AAAGAGATCAACCCACCCCCCCCCCCCCCCCCCGACATTCCTCCTCACTCAAATTCCACCCATTTTTTTCTTTGAACTCCTACTGCTCTGGTGAACTGTCTTTTTCTAGAATTATCTTTTTTATTCCAAGTTACACATACTATAACAGCAAGATCTTTTTTGTTCTTTTTCATAGTCCCATCCTTTTCTCTATGACTTTTTTTTCTTCTGCATGCAGAGTAAATGACATGGGAAACAGCAGGGTTCATCTGGTGCTTCCTATTTTAGGCCAAAAGAAAAGCCTTCAAATTATCTTCTGACTGAAAAATGAAAGCTTTGTCTAGCAAATCCTTGTGAATACTCTTGGTAATCTAATGATAATTCCATAGCATAAATGATGCAGCCAAGATAACAAATAAGTGAAGGTTACAAAAAATTTTGTTCAAGAAGATGCTCATTGGCATTTACCCTGTCACAACTGGAAAATTACCAGTACAAAAATTAAAATAGTTGAATCACTACGTATCAAAGTAAATCTGTCTAGCTTCTGAGTTTAAACAAATTCAGATGCTATAACTCTAAAGGATTTATATAACACCTTTGTAAAATATTTCTCTATTAAAACTGATTTGCTAGCTCCATATTTACCTTAAGCCAAAAGAGCTAATTGCAAGCTGTGTTCCAAGGAGAATTGATAGCCTGCTGTGAATGCTGCCCTACTACACCTAAGAAGAGGTGGCAATGAACAGTCCTACCACAGTTAGCAGAGCACCCACATGGCGCTCTGATTCCAGCAGCCCAACTCGTAAGGATGAGAAATATTTGTGATTTTAGCTCATCTAATATCTGTTCCCAGTCTTAGCCCACACTTCACGTTTAGCTTAGTTTCTATTCTTTCACCAATCAGCAAAACACTTCTGTTAGCAGAGCAACAGGCCTGACCTGAGATAAGGCAGATCAACCTTCAAAAAAATAGATAGATTGACTAAGGCAAATGACTCGTTTGAATTAAAATGATAGCTGTGTCACCTTAGTATTACCCACTACTCAGTACTGCAGACCCATCCAACATAAGACAGCGTTCCTTTTGAACAAAAGAAAGTTCATTATTATAATTTCACACCTAATAAGGCCAACATCCTACTTCCATTGATCTTACATCTACATTCATCTTCATTTTCATGGTGCCTTATTATGCCCTAGTCTCTGAATCCTGTACGTACATTGCATGTATATGCAGAACCAAATAAGAAAACTTATTTTATGTAAGTAGATTCAGTACAAAGAAAGGCATAGGTATTTCTACAACGATTAAGATACTTAAAAGATAAAGTGATTGATAGTAAACACAGATGTACAATTTCTTTGAAATTCACACATGGTGCTAGTGGTTACCTGCTCATCTGTTCATTAAAGCTTTTTTCTTTCTTTTCCATCTCTCCTGTTAAATATCCTGCAGTCATTTGTGAAAGATTATATGATTTCTATCACAAGACTTCTGCTGGGACTTGATACCACACCAGGATCTGGGTTTCTTTGTTCTGTAAGTTATTTTAAAAAAAAAAAAAAAAAATTACAGAGTACCAGAGAAGATTCTGTACTGTCTGCAAAATACCACTACTTTCTTTGTATGGCACTCCCTTTTGTGAAAGTCTAAGAAAGACCATCTGTTTCCTTTTTCACCAGGGGAGAAGACATGAAAATTAGATAGAAAACATACCCATTTTTAGTTACTTCAATAGCAAAACACCTCCCACCCCCCCAAGAAAACACAGCACATTCTATAAAGCACAAAGAAAAATAGGAAAGACAGGAAAACATAGGAAAAGAGCATTTTATATGAAATAGCAATGGCCTTTCAGCACCAATTTTTAAAATTAAGCATATAAAAACCAGGAAGTACTACCTATATTGTACAGCCTGGCTAGCACTTACACACAATGCTATATCACACCACCTGTTTCCATTATGGCAATAAAGGGAAGAACTGGATTTTACATAAAGATAGGATGTATTAAATGACTTCAGCTTAGGTGTCAAAGTTCAAAAGTCATCTTGTTATTATGCATGTCAATATTTCCCAATGCAGAATTTATTTTTTTATATCTATTTTTAATATGTATATACACACACCCCAAAAAATAAAACCATTAAAATTTTTTTTTTTATTAAATTTGTGGTTTTCTCCCCCACCCATTGCACCCCAGGTGGCAAATGGATAAATAGAAGATATTTACTAGTTGCTTTCTGGGGAACCATAAAGAATTGCAGGATATTGTTCTCAAAAAGGAAGTGATCCATGATAATTTTAAAAAGTCGTTCAAATAAAAGCCAGTGAAGGATTTGTTGGTCAATCATAAAGCTTTCTTGCATTCGCTGTAACAGAGTTGAATCTCTGAAAAGGGGCTCACATATCTTGAAATAAAGCTAGTGCAATAGTAATTAAATATTTGAGAATTAAGATTTTCTTATGTCCTTTAGGGTTAATGTATTACTTTCCTCCACTTCCTTCTCTCTAGATATTCAGCCTGCAGTCTAGCGAACAGTTATCTGGCTGCATTCATAATGCAGCACGTTCTTGCACGTTCTTCACTCTGTTCATCACTAGTTTCTTACTGCTGCCAATATTTAGTTAATTCTTTTATATTTTAGTCAAATATGAACACTGGATGAAGGATGGCATATAAGTTTCTAAGTAATTTTAAAACAAGAACACAAGTAATTTCATAAGACTGAAGCATATGCACTGCAATGTCTCTCAAAGAGGGAGAGAAAAGAAACCGTCTACAAACTCAATAGAAGTTCCAGATTGGTTGTGGAGCAAAGGTGCATTACTACAATACAATCCTTACCAGCTAGTATTTAGTTTTAATTTTTTTTCAAAAGTAGTATAGTGAACAAGTGATAAGCCCTTAAGAGTTAAAAGTCCTCCTTCCTATTTATTATTATTTGTTCAGATGAAAATCACAGAAGAGGATCTCTGGATTAGGACATATGCCAGACTATATCAGAAACTTTGTTCTTCTACGGGAGACATTCCAATTGGAGTCTATAGGACAGAATCCCAAAAGCTTACAACATCTGAGGTATGTCAGTTTACTATACTTTTCTTTGGATTTGATTACAGAGTATACAACATTCTTTGGTCCTTGTAAGAACGAAAACCACTTATTTAAAGAATATTTTGAATGCCGTGTCTGCAAATGCACAGAATACAAATAACCCACCGAAGGCCTCCCCCTGCTGACATGTATACGGTCACATTAGCTCAGCGGTCACATTCAGCCCCAGACTTCATGACTACCCAGAGCCAGTCTACATACTGACTTTCATTCCTGTGCTCGCCTACAGAGAAGTGACTGAAAATAAGAGGCAGCTCAGGCACAGATAGGACAGACTGGGATAGTTAGGTCTAGTCTGAACTTGCATATGGTGACTAATGGCAGTATCCACAACAAGCTATATGACCAGGTCCTGCATCAGGTGTGACAGCCATTTGTTTATGTGACCATTAGTACTGCCATCTCATTAAACCATGGCTTAAATGCAGTTCTAAAATGCAACAGTGAACAACTTACTCCTTTCTTCTGAAATGCAGTTTCCTGATTTCTAAGACAGACAATTTCTATTTTTTCTTCTGTATTTCAGAAAAATGTTATAGAACATTAAGCCGTGTAATGATTAACTGCAAGATTTATCTTCATTCAAACATTCAGTTATTTTAAAAATAAGGGTTACAAAAAAGCTATGCAAGATTCCACCAGATTCACTAGTGTCTCTCCACTGTGGACCACCAGTACCTCTACAGGTGGCTTTTACAGCTTAGCCAGTGGACTGTGCCACTGCAGTAATGTCAGCTGAGTTTTTTTTCTTAAATATAGCAGCATTAACAGAGTCCATCAAAATCATTTCTTGGAGAAGAATATAGGCAGCATCACTGCTAATATGAAAAAAAAGTCTGTCATAGCTTTCAACAATTCATTAAATAAGGATAAGTAAGATAAAATTCATGCAATGCTTTACTCTCACATTCACAGCTAGCTATTTAACTTGAGGCCCAAAAAGCATGCATACATACTCAAGTAAGTCTTCTGAGGCAAGCTTAACTGATAAATTAACGGTCTTTCAAATGTTTTTCTGAAAACAAGGTTTGGGACCATCAGTCACTTAAATCTAAACTCATAATTTTACTATAACATTAGGAACCTCCAGAGCCTGTACACATGCAGCTGCTCAAGCGCTTGAGTACTTAATCAGACCAGGCCCAGATTTAGTATAAGATAGCTATTGATTGACCTGTGTCATAAAAGTGAGAAAACTTGTCAGTTGAGATAAAGACAATTGTTTAATAGGTAAAGCAAAAACTGTACACACAAGCAAAGCAAAACAAGGAATTCGTTCACCACTTCCCATCGGCAGGCAGGTGTTCAGCCATCCCCAGGAAAGCAGGGTTCCATCACGCGTAACGGTTACTTGGAAAGACAAATGCCATCACTCCCAACGTGTCCCCCCCACACACTTCCTTCTTCCCACAGCTTTATATGCTGAGCGTGACGTCATACAGTACGGAATATCCCTTTGGTCTGTTGGGGTCAGCTGTCCCAGCTGTGTCCCCTCTCAACTTCTTGTGCACCCCCATCCTCCTCGCTGGTGGGGTGGGGTGAGAAGCAGAAAAGGCCTTGGCTCTGTGTAAGCACTGCTCAGCAGTAACAAAAACATCCCGGTGTTATCAACACTGTTTTCAGCATAAATCCAAAAATCAAGCCCCATACTAGCTACTATGAAGAAAATTAACTCTATCCCAGCCAAAACCAGGACACATGCAAATGAGAAGCCCTCACTTCACTCTGACAGATAAATATAATTCCTTTAAAAAGAACGCAAGTTTTCAGTGATTTAGTTACTAAGAAGCAATTCTAGCCTGCCTCTCAATGACCTGCACCTCTGTCTCAAACCATTTCCATTTCATTAAAAAAAGGACATATGAAGTCTTCATATTGCCTGTGTAGCTGATTTTATGTGGTTTCTGTTAAACAGTCCATGTTTGTTTCTTCAGCTTCACTTCTGTTTAAATTGTCTTTTGTTTTCTTTTTCCCCTTCCTTTGTCAGTCACGAGAAATGGCTTCACAAGTAAGTATTTACTTATTGTCTGCCTGTTTCTGGGTGTCATGGTTTAAGCCTGGTAGGCAGTAAGCCCCACACAGATGCTCACTCACTCCCCTCCACAGTAGGATGGAGGAGAGAATCAGAAAAGTAAAAGTGAGACAACTTGGGGTTTGAGATAAGACAGTTTAGTAGGCAAAGCAAAAGCCCCACGCACAAACAAAGCAAACCCAGGAATTCATTCCCCACTTCCCATTGGCAGGCAGGTGTTCCGCCATCCCCAGGAAAGCAGGGCTCCATCACATGTAACAGTTACTTGGAAAGACAAATGCCATCACTCCAAACATTCCCCCTCCATTCCTTCTTCCCCCAGGTTTATATGCTGAACATGACATCATATGGTATGGAATATCCCTCTGGTCAGTTGGGGTCAGCTGTCCCAGCTGTGTCCCCTCCCAACTCCTTGTGCACCCCCAGCCTCCTTGCGGGTGGGGGGGTGTGAGGAGCAGAAAAGGCCTTAGCTCTGTGTAAGTGCTGCTCGGCAACAACTAAAACATCCCAGTGTTATCAACACTGTTTTCAGCACAAATCCAAAACACAGCCCAGTATTTGCTACTATGAAGACATTTAACTCTGTCCCAGCCAGAAACAGTACGCTCGGTTAAACCCTGGGAATAAAATCCTTGCAGGAAATGGAACTATGCAATGGATCATCCTTGAGCAAATAAAGCTCAAAGCAACATTGTTCTGGACACAAACATCTTATTTAACATCTGTAAATTGACAGACCATGACTTTCAAAAAAGCCCAGTGGAATTTGGTCCCTATTTAATTCTGTAAATAACAGATCATCTTTACAGTCTGTCAAAAGCCTTGATCCTAACACCTTAAATGCTAATGGACAACAATCCCCAAGTTTATCATGAAAGGAGTATGTGGTTGTACTTAACAATGGTTTAAGACAGCTGATGGACCAGAAAGGCATTCCTAGAACCCTAGGTGCAATTAAGGGCTATCAGTATACAGAACAATGAAAGTAATTTTAACATAAAACTTGCAGTTAGATAAAAATAAGGCATTGCTTCAGAATAGGATGAATCTGCACATTTAAACTGATTTTACATACTTAGCTACCAGGGAGCAGCAAAGCAAGGGAACAAAGATCCAAGAAATTAATTGATGTTTGGTGGTGTAGTACTGTTGCCACCATGCTCACAGCCATCCTGACCATCTCAAATATGAACACTGGTGTGTTTGTGACTACATTCCTGTTCTTGCCACGTGTTGGCTAACCTGAGCTAGCGTTCAAATAATGGCGTGAAACACCCTATTAGAGCACCTTGCCTGAGTGGAAAAAACCCTGTGGCTCACAAGTGTCCAGCAGCACAAGCGAGCAATCACACTCATTTGGAGACACAGTCTGATACCTGAGATGGGAACCTGCCTTTAAAAAAACCAAACAAAAAACCCCCACAAAAACCTGAAACTTGAAAAAAAACCCCAAAAAACATTTGAAGGCACACATTTCTTCACTTTACGTGTGACATACAGCTTTTTCCCTAGTAAAAGTAGCAGTGATTATGTAAAGACTTAACACGCACCTTGATATTTTCCAGGAATTACACTATGTTTCTATTTCAAAGAATCTCAAAAATATATATACATTTCATAAAACATAAGATGGTCAAATTACTCCTATACAGTAATAGTTACACCATATCATCAGTTATGCTTCTCATACAGCAGGTTTATAAGCTATGCAAAAAGGAAATTAAATGCAACCAATCCTCAAAATAAATTAATGATAGTTACAAAAGTATTTTGAAAGAAAGTTTGAGACTGATTAAAACAGAGGGGGACAGACAGAAGTACTCCGCCCTGGACTTTTATGCTCCGCGCTTTTGTGTTGCCTTTGAAAGGGGATTTGAGTTTCTTTGGTTTTGCTTTGTCTTTAAACAGTTTAATTTTTTCCTCCTGCATAGAGGGAAGGGCCATTCTGCACACCTTTCTCAACAGGCACCATAAAAACTGAATAGTCACCTAAGTAAATATTTAATCAACTTCATTCATGGTTTCACAACTCGCCTATCCCAGTGTTTCAAAAGTTCAAGTTAAGGATTTACAGTTTCACAGAAGCAAAAGACTCGTTCTTTTACTTGGCCTCTCCTGGTGAATCTCTGGCTCAAAAAAAAAGTGATTTACTCTCCTGTAATAATTAGGATGATTGGTCTCTGCCTTTCCAATACTACTGCCAGCAGGTCTAGATGGCTGTTTTACCAAGAGTTGGACAAGAAAAGCTACTAATGCAGACAGGAAGAAAGGCAAAACAAGACCATCCCTTATACTCAGTATCAGATTTGTTCACACCAAATAGACCCTTCTCAACCATACGGAGCATCTTTTCATACAGAATCCATACTGTAAAATACATGCAAAACCAAACTGTCAATTTAAAATAACAAGCAACAAAAAAAATTAAAATTGCATTCCTGTACACAGGGATTCAGGATTCTCTTTCATGCCTTACCCAAAACAACATCAGCTGAGCCAGTAATAAAACTTCAGAAGAGATGTTATTTTTCAGAATAAACCCCCTTCCTATTGCAGACTAAACTGAAGAACCTCAATGAATTACTGGGTCTTTGCATGAGGCTTATTGCAAGACCCTAGTCTAGAATATTAAAAATGTGCTTTTACTTGAAGTGCTACAACATAAGCATCTTTTTAATTCTTGGTTTTGATTTTGTTGCTCGTTTGGGATTTTTTACACAGATGAAAGCTAGTCTGTGCAAAAGAGAAAAAAAATTAGCATCTTTCTCACACTGTCAGACTTACATCAAGTATTATTTTATGGACTCCAGGTACCTTGCAGATTCTGTGTGAGAGAGGGTGGAGAGCCTCTTAAAAGTTATATTCAACACTGATGAGGTCAACAGAATCTTGTTTTCAGATTTTATATTAATGGGAAAAGGCCTTTAGGACCTCAGTAGCTCTTCAGTTAAATTTGCTTTATTCACTGATCACTTCCAGCATATTGTGAACTCTTTCAGTTCTTGGGGAGTCATACAAACTGAGCCAGCTCCAGTTTAAGTCATCTTTGTTTTATACTTCATTTATTTTAAACACTCGACACGCTGAAATCTGTCACCAGTAACTTGGCAATATGACTGCACTGATATCACGGAAGGCTTCACTATTTCAGTATCAATAAAAGACATGTTTCAAAGATCATAACGATAACTCAGGATTATAAGGAGTAGTTTGAAACCAGAAGCTAAAAACATTAGTTACATTTTAAATAGACATTAAAACAATTTTGAAGTTATCTTTTGAAATGTTTCCTCTTATATTCCCTAGGATCTTTTTGTATATGTTAGAACTGCATATGTAGCTCATCCACTTGAGTTATTTCACTACTGCTGTATGTGTATACCATTGGTCATTACTTGGGTAGCATGAAGAAAACACAGCAAGAGAGGGACAGATTTTGGCCCTTACGTCTGGGTTTTTTTGGTTACTATATGAGTGAAAAAACAACTTCACTATACTTAAAGGTAGGAATTAATTACCTTGTTTGCAAGAGGTGCCCCAAATCACACTGAAGGCTACAACACACATCCCTATTATTTTCAGCCACAGAGGCATTCCAGATAGTATGTGCTGGAAGGTCAAAAATGCCCGGGAATTTGAGATGCAGGTAACAGGCACATTCCACCTGTGGTCTTAAAAGAGTACTCAAAGCAGCGCAGCCAAAGTTGAACTATTACTTGATGAATCCACAACATACATCTAAAAAGCAGTTACAGAACTTGAATTTCTAAAAATATGCAAACTTGGAAGAAAGTGGAGAAGTCATTCGGAACAGGTTCCTAGATTCAGGCAGTATTGGAAGGCTAGAGCTGTTCTTCTCAGAATCAAAATGGAATTGGGCACTAACTGCTTAACTGCTTTTGCACTTGAGAAGTGTATTTATATCATTTACATAAAAAGTCAAAGTCTAGTAAAGGGCACCCAATTCAGGAACATTTGCTAAGTACAAACAACTGAATCCCCTCAGCAACACTGCAACCAAAACACATGTTCAACTGCACTGTTGAAAAGAGGAGAGAACATCTTAACCTGCTTCCATTTTTTTAAAGCTCTTAATTGCACATCATTTTCCTTTCAAGTCTCAAATCTCTATCAATGTGGAAGAGTGGGAAGACACTAAAGACACCAAAGAACAGATTAGTTATCGTAGTAATCATCGTAACTCAACATCTAGCGATCAGTCTGATCACCCCTTGTTACGACGAAAAAGCATGCAGTGGGCCCGGCGGCTGAGCAGAAGAGTACCAAGACACTCCAGTAAAACAGCCGAGAAGATAAACCAGCAGCGAATGAACCTTTACAGGAGGTCAGAAAGACAAGAGCTTGCTGAACTTGTGAAAAACAGAATGAAGCATCTGGGCCTTTCTCCAGCAGGATACGGTATGATTACTATAATACTTTAAATTAATAAAAACATCAGTGTTATGTAAGATGAACTTATTTTTAAGAACTGAGGGTCCCATAAACAAAATATTAAGTTTATGATAATGGTTTTGTTTTGTTGTTTTGGAGGGGGGTTTGTTGGTATTTTTGTCTGTTTTTTTAACTGAAAAAACCTTGCTGGAGTGTTTTTAATCGTATCTATTATCACCCATTCCTATTTTCAGATGGAAAGCTCAGAAGGCAGCATGTCAGCCACATTTATATTTCACACATGATATGTATATGCAGAATAATATAAACATTCCCCTGTCACTGAACAACTGCACCATATTTCCACAAATTTGTTGAAATACAGATGAAGACAGAACCATTGGGAAGTTCACTCATACATCAAGGTGGAGAGTTGTTTATATGTGAAGGATATTGCATTTTTCCCACAATTTTTAAAGTTAATGCTAAAGTGTCACATAAAAATTATGTTAATGAAGCACATTTCACTAGGTCTTTCGATGCTATTTTTATCCATCAAGTCCTTCTCCAGCAAGGATGATGCTGGGTTGCTTTTTTGTTTGTCTGTTTTAAAGCCATTGACAAGAGCTCTGTAACACCCTTTTTAATATATACACCACCGCTGCCTGGGTTGCCTTTCTATGGCCGTGGCTCTGTAGCATGTTGTGTGGAAACACCTAGAACTATGGGTTCTAGTTTTCTGAGAAACACTAAGAATTTCTAGATCCCAACGTATTTGTCTGCATAGTAGGTTCAATATGGAGCTCAGTGCTTTCTACTTCAGAAGCACCAACACTGGAGTTCCCATACTCAATTTTCATTTGAAAAATCCAAAACGTACTGTTTTACGAATGTGTTACTCTTCATTTTTCAACACAGTTATTTTTGACTTATCCCTAAAATATCCATTAACTGAAGGTAAATGTGGTATTTCCTACAGAATGGATATTTATTTGTCCATTTTAACTGCACACATTCTTAATGCAGGGTCAAAACATCCTTTGACACTAATAGCATTGTACTACCCAACAGTAGTTCTTATTGTTGCTATTGATACAAAATCAACTTAATCATGAGAGGAGGCTGCTACAGAATACGTGGCTATAGTTTTGCTCAATCTGTATAAATTAGATATGTAAATACAAGCTCTTTATCCCACACTCCAACTGGATAATTACTATTCCTGCTTTCTTTATGGATACTATATGAGTCTCTGCAGAAAGATTCAGGACTAAATGTTTACCGGGAGTGACACAGGCCACAATAACATTTGATCAACCACAAAGAAGTTTGATTCATATTGATAGTAGTAACAAGAAAACTGTTGTATTCCTGGTTTTCTTTTAAAATCCTAGTTAAAAGCCAACAGTAAATGTTCATTTCATTATTTAAATTTAGGAAGATTATATACCATCTAGAGAACAGCAAAATCTTGCTAGGTAAATGCTTTACCTGATTTATAAATTTTCATGATCACTTCCCTATTTTCTTACAGTTATGCCTCATTAAAAAGAAACCTTCTACTTTTGCAACCCCAGGAACACCCACATTGTGGGGAAAAAACTAAAAAACCCCTCAAAGAACCACAAAGCAGTTTTACACAGGCAATCAGCTGCAAACCTGGGTTGTCACATTCCCGCTGCCATCCATCCACCCTCCACGACATTCAGAAAGAATTTCAGAAGACTTTCACCCCCCCTTCAGAGCTAGCTCACTCCCCACTCATCCCACTACATATTATACACGGAATACAAATTTTAAATCTCTCTGTTCTTTCAAACTAGCAGGAATCAATCAAGCCAGTCAGCTCCCTACAGAAGTTAAATGTACTTCTTAGTAATGTCTGTCTGCATCTGCAGGGAGCAATGAAAAAAAAACAAACAGGAAACATCATCAAATATTGTAAACCACCATTTTAGCTGTATAACTGCATCTATACTCAGAGTTTACGTGAGCTTATCTGGTTTCTAGATAGGAGTACTTATGGTGGTGCAAATACATGATACAAGCATGTAGAGAAATTACACATACTAGAAAATACCCAATACAGTAATTTTCAACCTACAGACAGTGTATCAAGAATACTTCATTAACAAAAGATTTAGGAATTACATTCAAACTAGAACGGTACTGTTCTCTTTCAAATAATTTTTCCTAAAACGCTGAAGACAGAAATTAACACAGAAGAAATGCATCTCTCTCTTAGTTCTATCAAAGTAAAGCAAGTGTCACTGCAGCACCCCAGGAAGCATACCAAGAGAAAGCTCTACGAAAGATACTGCAGTAACAGCTATGAAAGCTTAGCAAGACTTGACTAGGCAAAAACCTTAAAAAAAAAAAAAAACAAACAAAAAAAGATTTTCTGTCAGCCTTCATTTGCAACATATCATTAGAAGAATAGTCAAAAAATGCAAAAAAAAAATATTACTAATTTGCATTTATACAGCATTCACATCTCAACCCATTGGCACAGGTGATAAAAGGAAAATGCTTAAAAGATAAATAGGGAAAAGGAAAAAAGGTTTACACTGACCAAATCTGGAAATGGATGAGAATGCCATACACCTGCATTTAACCTTGCTTAGCACTTGAACTCAGTGCCAGCTGAGGATGGAAGTCCCCACTTCCCACATACTAACAGAAGCTACATGACAGATTGGTAAGTTACACTAAAATTGGGTTGCATTTAGAATTGCTATGACTGAAAAAAAATGCAAAAGAACATTTTTAGAACATTCAGAAAGAAAACAAGATATTTTAAGGGCAGATAATTCAAAAGATGTTATGTCAGATAGTTCCAACTCAAGTACAGTTGAAAAGAAGTTGCTAAACTTACTTGAAATCACTTTGACACCTGACACTTTGACAGTTCTATGAACCAACAACGATCTTTTATCAAATTTGTTTTTCAGAAATTATACTTTTCACAATTTATTTGTAAATATAATAATTTTTTGTCCTCTAGATGAAATGAACGATCATCAGAACACCCTTTCTTACATCCTGATCAATCCTTCTCCAGATACAAGATTAGAGCTGAATGATATAGTGTAAGTTAAAGCACACACACAAAATGATTACAAGACCTGCAAAATTTCGTGTTTGTACTTTCTTCCTGAATTTATTTTATTATCTTTCTGCTTGAAAAGAACCCCAAACGTTCACATGCACCTAAACAATTACATTTCAAGTAATATGTTCAGACTTTGCCTTAATAACTCCATATTTCATCTACCCTATTTGTCTTAAGAAGCAGGTACTGAATAGCAGAGTTTTCATTCTATAGCCATGAGATTTTTGTACCAAAACGTTTAACATTTTGACTCTCAGCAGAGCATGATGATCTTTTTCTATACTGAAGTTTAGTACTTGCAAATGGATCTTGCATTAACACTCCCTGTTCTCTTTCATTCCAGAATTAGTACAATGCATTCTGTTGCTAGCACTGGCCATCTCCTTATTTAAAGGAAAAAAAACCCCACCAAATACCTCCCCCCCCCAAAAAAAAAACCCAAACCCTGACAACTACCACCAAACCCACTACTGGTTCTTTGTTCCTTTGACATGTTTTGGTGTTGGTTTTTTTTTCTCTGGAGATTAAGACTGTCCTTATTTCCTCTGGGGTCAGTGTTGATGGTGCCCTACAAAAACATGATACTCAGAGTTGCAGTTTCAGTTCCAAGAGTTGCATTTGGGACTTCCAAATCTCATCAATCTGCAGCAACATCCAAAGATGATGCATAGGAATTGCTCATGCAGTACTGCTCCAGACACGCTTAAGGGCAGAAGGTGACCACTGAGATTTGGCGGCTGTGACATCAGGCCAGTTATAAACCCTCGAGGCACTAGTCATATATTTGGGCTTCTTACAATTTTACCAAAGTTTATCACTGTAAGAGTCTTGTTCATTTTTACTTAAGGTATGCCATGATTTACTTACTATAGAATTATTTGTGATGTAGAACTTGTGAATTATGTATTTCAGGCACAAGTCTTTAGTTTACTCTAAAAAAAAAAGAAATATAGAAACACTTGAATTTCCCCCCCCCAAATCTAAGAAAATTTATTCAAAAAAAAAAAAACCCAACAACAAAGTAAGACTTTTTTCATGTGTTTAAACATGCTTCAGTTGGATTTGATGAACAGAATAGAGTGGACTCTTCCACGACTCCTCAGTTTCATTGGTTGGATCAGCAAAACAAATAGGTTGTTCTGGAGTAAATAATAAATACCAGATGTTATAAATAGAGGGTAATGTCTGACTTTAAACAAATAGATACCATGAGAATACGATCCAGATAGGAATCGTACGAGTAGATTTTTTTAATCCTCTATTTAAATCAACTCTTTTCTTATGCAAATAAGGTCAGGTTATTTGTAGCAACAAAGTCCAAAGAAAATGCTGCTGTTCTGTTTTAGCCCTGACAGAAGGAGAAGCATTAACAAAGTAAGAGAGGCAGGTGGCATTTCCAAGTCATGGGGATCAGGCAATTCTCTTGGGTAGCCACCATAAAGCCAATGCCTCACAGAAGCCCCTGCTTTGAGGGGCCAGGAACGCTGTTATTAGGCGAGCTGAAAACTGATACAGCAGTTCTGTGGGAGGTATGACAGTGGCTGCTCGTACACGTACAGAACATGTTAGTTCAGTGAATTGGGATTTTCCATTTTGCATGCTGTTGAATTTTTCAGGGTCTTTTAATTAAGCCTGGGGCAGAACATACTCATTATACTGAATGGAGGAAGTTCACGGCCTGTAAAAACAGAAACTTTCTTCAGGGCCACTGCAAAGTAATACAACAAATCTTTATAAGCACCACACAGCATGCACACAATCTCTATTTGGATATTTAGGCATTTTCATTTGGCTGATGAGGAGATTGACAGACATGCGGTGCCAAGATTTCTGAGAACGTGAGAGAGGATTCTTTCACATTTCATTTTCCTGCATTTCATTTTTCTTCTCCAAAAAAAAGTCAAAACCAGGATTTGAGGTAAAATTTCCATTGGCGTCAACACTACTGCACATCTTCGGACAAGTTTAAGATACTGGCATTGAATCTAGATGTCTCTCTCCTTTAGGAGCACAGTGGTGCTGGAAAGCACTGATTGATAGTTCAGAACACTGAAATGTTAGTTCTGCAGCTGCACAAAGCTACTACCTGTCAGTCACAAAAGCTGAGATCAGATAGTTTGTCACCCAAGACAGGTGACAAAACAGTGCAGAACTTACACTTAGAAATTAATGGGAAGCTTTTCCATCCTTATCCTAAGAAAAAAAGTTATTTTAAACATCTCAAACTTAGATTCAAATTCATGAGGCATTTTTCTCAGGTAATCAGATCTACTAGAAGTTCTTAGAATAGGGGTCCACCTCCAGACTGTCAGCCAACACCAAGATTAACAACATCAGGCTTTTTATTTATTGAGCACAGTGACAAGAATTATCCATAGTTTTCTCACAATTTTTTTTCAGAAATTACTCTGTGCACTGCTTGTTCCTTCTTTAAGGCATAACGAATAAAGGAGATGCATAAAGAAATGCAGAGTTATTGGCAAAGGAGTTGTCATTCAAAAGTAAAGTTTAACTGTGCCTAGGACATACAGATGACATCTAGGCAGACAAAACATGAAAAGCTTTACAATTAGCACCTAAAGTGAGTGGTGTTACCCGTGTCCAAGTTACCCAACAGGACCTAGAATAAGCACCTTCAAAATAAGTCTCTAAGTCTGATCTTTTCAACATTACAACTGTATGCACTTATTTTATTCTTGCTCATGCCAAGTCTTTTTAATCAGAGTTATAATTTCTTTTCATAGATACTTGATCCGACCTGATCCATTGGCTTACGTTCCAAATACTGCACCCAGCCGAAAAGACAGCTTCTGCAATACAGTGGGACAAGACACCAGGGAGGAAACACAACTTTGATGTGTAACTCATCACAAAATTAAGAGACAGTTTTATACACATGTTACTTCCACTAACCATTCTGAAAACTGAGTGGTATATTTTATTCAGATTTTGGAAGCAAAATGACAGTGGGTAAGTGACCAAATTTAGAAATGTGGTGTCTGGAAACTCTGATTTAAGGGATTGTCAGGCTTGTGGCCTTTTCAACATGGTAGTTGAACTTTGCCAGCTTAACAGAATTGTGACATCTATTACTATTTAATCAATATGAACAAATGATTTAAAAAGTGACAGGTTCCATCATGTGTTTTGCTTAGATGCTTCTAAGCATATTTATTAAGCATGTCAGTGACTAAGCTTCTGACCTACATCAGTAAAGATAATCGGATGCCTGTAGAGAGACCATTCATAATTTGTAGTAGAAAATACATTAATACCTAAAGGCGCCAACGAGGCTTTGTGTGGCAAGAACGCAGCCTTTGAGAAAATTTTCAGTCTCAGCCTGTCACCCATTATATATTCGAACAGGCTAGTTTCAGTCCTGTTTCCGCCTCCAGGACGTGAGTGTTAGTTCTCCGGGTTTACACAGACCAGATTGTAATGACACAGCCTCATCGCACTGTAGAGGCTGAGATCTGAGGCGTATCACAGAGATTAGCTCAGAGGAGCCCACCTAGAGGAAAGCCCCTATCATCTCACGCAGGCAGCCCCCCACATTCACAAAAACTGGGAAGGTACTATCTGTGTGAAGCTGCAAAGTAGCTCAAGTGAAATAGAACCCCTTTAACCTTACTGAGTTTGTCAATAGAAGCCTGACTAGATTATGGTACAAAAGAGAGAGCATCCCTCTAGGGAACAATTCATACCACAAGTCCTTCTCATTTCCATAAATATGCCAGAACCGCAACTGTCCAAAGTATGTACATGCCCAGTCATTCAGATTACCCAAATATGATACATTTTCATATGAAATTATGTATCACATTGAAAAATTAAAGACATTTATAACCCATTTCATAAAATGAATGTAATACCATGTTATGTGTAAAGGCACCATGGATTTGAAGACTCCGTTTGGGCATTAAGTACACAAAAAAGCATCTGCTCATGTATGAAACATCTGAAGCTATTAATCTCTGGTCTACACGTACAAGAATGCCACGATTGGTCAAGCTTTCTACAGAATTAAGCATGCCCGTACATGATCTTCCAAAAATCACATTCTTGCTTTGCCATCTGTCACAAAGGGGGAAGAGCATCCTTAAGGTAAAAACCCTACTGTTACAATTATCTATAGAACAGGTACAAGAAATTTAGCAGGTAGCCTACAATGGAAAAACTGATTATTCTTTGAATTCCCTTGATGTCCTACATGTACAAAAATTCAGTCAAAATTATTTCTATTCTCTTCTATATTATTTGATAGAACTACAAATTTTTTTCTGAAGAATAAAATACTAAGTTGCCCAGTGAACAACTCATGGGTGTGAGTATGCTTATCAGCATTGTAAGGATGTTGAAATCAAGTCACATTCATATTAGGTACGACAGCAAATCTGCTATTATTCCCTCTCTTCCTCTTAATTCTTCCAAAACTTAACTAAGCTGTTCTATATTAAGTTAGAAATCCTAAAGCCACAATTATAAAAAAAACCCATATGTCTCAGAGTGGACTGAAGCCATCAGAAGACCAGGAATACCCGTTTTAAAGGGAAAAAGGATAACTGGAAAGTAGGGTTTCTCAGCATTTTTTATATTGACATATTAAAGTAGCATCATGGTTCAGAAGGGTTACAGTGATTCCACATAGAGTCCATTATTGTTCAGTGTTTCTCCACACACGAGTCATTTATCAAATTATTCACAGGTAAAGACAAAGTATTTCAAATGTTCCCTCTGGGCACTGTGGAAAAAAAGAAACAATTGAAACAGCTGCACAGACTGAAGTTGACAGCTTTTTAAAAAACAGTACATGATACAGGATCTTGTTCAAGACCTGTCACAGAAGTTATCCCAGAAAAGACTGCACGTACAGTGTGAATAACTTCCTATTTTTAATGCCTTCGGTGAGAAGACTGTGTTCCAGTTGAATATTTTTTTAAAAAATACAAGTTTCTTAAAAATGTTCACTCTGAAAATATTAGGACCATCCCTTGTTTCATACTGAGGGCCTTTCTAACCAATTCTCAAGTAGGCAGACAGGATCCCAGAAACACACCTACCCTTCAGCTGGCAAGCTAGATACTCTGCTTTCAGTGTGATTCACGTGCTCTTCACAGGCATTCCCTGTACGCTGCCAATAGTACCCACCACAGATTTAAGGACTCTCTGCCACAAAGATCTATAGGTAGGACTTGATGCCTTGCATTTAACAGCCTATAAAGCCATAGAAACAAGCAGTCAGGGGTATCCATTTTCCCACCCAACTCAGCAGAATTGCTGCTCAGCTAGACTTGAATAGTAGCATGTAATGTGACCTGATATTTCTCCAGGCTTAATGGATTTTTAATTGCTCCTTAGCCCCAGAAGATTTGCTAAAGCAAACACAAAGGCAGCTGGAGACACTTGCAGTCTCTAAAGTGAACGAATGGCATTCTTTCTGAACAAAATACTTGGTTCTCTTCAAAGTCTACTGGAAGACAAATAAGGTAATAAAAACTAACAACAGCTTCTTATGACTAGAAGTTCTAATAACCCATGAATAGTATACCACAAAGTTCTGTTATTCAAAATATACCGCCTTTCATGTTGAAAGCGGAACTGCTTTGCTTCCTCTGGCATATCTTCACACACAGACAGACCCCATTCTAGTGAGATTTAGATTTTTCAAGAACCACCCTAAGCACCTCTACATTAACACTGAATGAGACAGTAGGCACGTTCCTTCGGTGGTCAGGGAGGCGATTCTTTAATGGTCATTCTACAGGCAATCTTATGTTCGCCTGCTTTCTTCTCATCATGATTATCAGAAACATAATACAAGTCTAGCTGGACGCAGACCAGACTGAGGAACAGTAATCTCTCTGCCCAGTGCTAGAGAAAAGATGATAAAGTTCTAGAATCAGTAGGTCCAAATGACTGTTGAATAGAGGAGTTTTGTCTGGTCATAGTTCACTCAGTAGATAGAGAAATTTAGAGCTATGATTGCTGACATAAACAAGAGATGTAATCCTAAACGAGTTGTCAAGAGTCAGATCACAAGATAACCTCTATTTGTTTCTTTCAATCAAAAAAAAAAATTTGGATGATTTCAATCTGTGCTTAACTGTATGTATTTTTTTCCTCCTGACTCACTTCTACGAATAATTCAAAGATGCCCACGTTCCCCAACACTACTTTACCACAATAACTCAAAGATGCTCATGTTCCCCAACATTACTTTACCACATACCAAGCAATTTGGTACCCAAATTCACAATCCCACTGAAAAAACTGACAGCAGATAATAATTACTTCATTCTCACAAGGGAAATCTCCAGCAAAGCAAGACCTACCTGTGAAAATGTGTTACCTAGTCTGCAATAAAAAGTGACAAAAAGATTTTCAGTGGAATGCAGTGTGTTTCCTTAACTATTTCACTCCAATTCCAGAACATGCATTAATTCACAAAGAAAGTAAAAAGCATACAGTTTGAGTTCTTAAAACCTGCAGTAGAACTAGTGAAGATTTCATGACATTTTGACTTTGACAGGAACAGTTATTTGCCAGCATACATATTTCCCCTCTCACAAACAACTTCCTACTATAACTACTCTTTAACAACTTAAAGTAGAGAAATATCTATATATATAACTGAATATTTCTTATACATCTTTGTTTACCAAAGCACCAATAAAATGCTAAAGAATAAACAGATTTCCGGCTTCAGCAGTGGAGAAAACCTGAAATTACTTCAAGCGCACCAGAAGTAACACACAATTCTGTAATTTCTAGGCAGCTAGGGCTGACAGCAACCATTCTGTAATTTTGGAGCAGTGATGCATGAGGTTTTGCTGCATTGAATTCCACTTGATATCTGAGGGAAATCAGTCACTACAATCTGGAAATGAATTAATAAAAATCAAGCAGCACCGTGTAGTGACATCAAGTTGTACAAGGTTATAAAAGACACTTTTTCAAGGCAGTGCTTTATTTTATAATTATGCATTTATATCAATCTGCATAAAATATTGTTGCATATTCTTGATCTTAGAAACAGCCCACCTCACTTTGAAATAGATATACATCGAATACAAGTCTAAAGGGCTGCACTTCAAATTTTCAGCCACTGTTCCCTGTGCTTGATGCAGAACAAGCATTGCAGGGAGACAGGAAAAGAATTATTAATTCATATCATGCTACAAGAGATGATCAAGACTTTGCTTATGGTCATCTTGTGAAGTTAAACAAAAATATTAATGATGATTTTGTTATGTACTTCGTTACTGCCTATACTACTAATGCAAGGATGCTGTCAGTAATGATAATTCAACACAAGCATAAACTCCCACAGCCTTCCAAGAAGTTTAAAAAGACAAATATTTCTGCTTCATAAAGTTAAAAACAAGCATTTGAAGTGTCTATGAACTAAAGTTTTCTATTTATTCTATAAAACCTAGACTGCATATTGTTATGCAAATTTGCAACTGGCCCATACCAACTGAGGTGAGAGGCTAGGACACAAAGTATAGAAATAAAAAAGTACTTATTCACATGCATGAGGTGTCCCAGCAAAATTGGAGCACCCCAAATATGGTTCTACATAGGGCTCTCATACCTTTAAAGCATTCAGGTACACCATGATTTGACTAATCACTAACACCCATACTACCAATTACTAATCATAGTAAAACTTGCATCCTTTCACCAGTATAGACTGGCTGATGAATGATAGCTAGTTTCCTTGGTGGTTGTATAACTTTTAATAGTTCAGTATTTACTCCCACTAGAAGTTATAAACTGTCATTGCTTCCGTAACTGTCCAGTGGTGTGGCAGACTCCAAATGCAAACAGAGAATCGGTGTATTTATAGTCTTTTC